TAAGCCGCATGGTTCAAAGCGTGGGGAAAAGTAGCGGCTTACAGTCCAGAAAATACGGTAATAGTTTGCTTTTTACTTTCTAGCTGACACTTTCAGCTAAAGCTGTTGTCTTCGTCAGAGCATCGCCGACGTAGAGAATGATGTCGCCCCCTACTGCTCGTGCCTTCCCATGAATGTACACTTCTCCGTCCCTGCTCATGGTCCTGGGTCCACATCTCCTTATTACTTGGGGTGACGGTGACACAGGAGTTAAGTGCTCGCCCCGTAATCAGAAAGTTGCAAGTTCGAGCCCTGCTCAGTTTGTCACTGTCATTGTGTCCTTGGGCAAGACACTTAACCTCCCTTACCTGCTGGTGGTGTTCAGAGGGACCGCCAGTGCTCAGCAGCCTCACCTCTGTCAGTGCACCCCAGGGCAGCTGTGGCTACATTGTAGCTCATCCCCACCAATGGGTGAATGACTGATTGTGTTGTAAAGCACCTTGGGGGGTTCCGGGACTCTAGAATGGTGCCATATCAAATACAGGCCATTTACCATTTCGCATTTTTTTTTCGATCACCATAAAAGATCTTGTTGCTGAAGACCTGTCAAAACACTGTGGTGTATATTGTAATGAACCCTCTTACGGATGAATACTTATATATGAATAATTAATAATTGTCCCCATGCAGCACTCTTTAAGCAACTCTTAAGTTTATCATTATTGTCCACTGCAACATTAAAAACAAGCTGACACCCCTGCCCCTGGCCTTTTGGTGATGGGGCCCAATGTGAATGTTTTCCCATGGGGCCCAAAATCCCTGGCGGCGCCCCTGCACCCACCCATTATAATTCAGCACCTGTGGCAGCTGGGGAAAATTGTTACTCTACCAATGCTTTTGTTGTTTTCTCATCAGTAAGGCATGCTTCACACAATGTTAGAGTAAAAAAAAAAGATGGTGTGGCTTCTCAGGGGTACAACAAATAACTTCTGGGTTGCTCTGTTACTGGCTTGAGTTCTGGAACTAGGCAGTTTAGAAGAACCTAAAGCAGAACCTATCTCCTCGCTGTGCGTGGGTATTTTTAACACCTTAATCGAGCTGAAATGACTCCCAGCATTCCTTAATGTCTAGTTGAGTGATTCATCACTAAAATAAACAAATCAGATGTGTTCATGATCTCAAACGTGCAGGAAAAATGCTGGAACCAGACTGCAACGCCAGGTATGTCAGCTCCATTTTTTCTAAGTCCAACAGAGTGGCCTGCCAGTCTCAAGTTGCAAGTGGAATATTCTGACCACAGGGAGCGATAGAGGCTGAGTGGCTTTTCATTTACCCTGTAAAAGGTCATTTTAGTACATACAGGCTCAAGAAAATTATTGACATTATGAGAAATTTGAAAAGTGTCTCTTTAAACAGCTCTTGAGCTTTTAGCCTTCTGGTGTCAGACTACAAATGCCGGCGCAGAAAAGTTAGCTTGCCGAAGACATGGCAACCTCACAAACTCACAGATTGTAAACAGTAACCATGTCCCTCTTTTGTGTAGTTTTTTTTTTGGGGGGGGGGGGGGGGGGGCTTTTTTGAAAGGAGAAAAACTGGTAACCCCTCAGCTGGCTGGGAATTAAATCTGTTTCACTGTAACCTTAATTTCAGCGTGATTGAGTCATTACTGTTAACTGATTATTTCACTGAAGAATTCTTACATATTGCTCCTTTAATGCAACCCTTCTACCCAAAACCATTTTCAGATTTTTGCTGTCACCTTTAACCAAACCTGCTGCTCTCAAATGGAGCTTCAGTTTAGCCATGGGTGGAAGTTATGAAAACACAAAGCCGTGTGTGCACAGAAAAAGTCGAGGCTCAAGTTCTCATAACAACAACGGTTCAACAAAACTCAAGGTGATCACCTATAGTTAACTCATCATGTTCACATACCCAGATCAGAAAGAAAAAACTAACCTGAAAGAGAAGATAAGTTAAAAGCATTTCTCAAAAGCATCATTTTCAGTTATTTGTCAGTTTTCTTCTCTATATTTCTCTCTTTTTTAATGTGTGTGTTGGTGTGTGTGTGTGTGTGTGTGCGTGCCTAACCTCCAGGCCTCGGCTCTGCTGCTTCCCACGGGACACGCTATGTGATTGATGAGAAAGAATCGTAGCTCGGGAGATATACTGGGAGGAGGGTTTTGGTCAAGTTTGGTCCAGATCTTCTAGGCTGCACTCCTATTTATTTTCTTGACACCTCCAGGACAATGTTCAGCTAAGTAGAGAACAGTGTAGTCACAGCCATAACACTTCCCCACTACAAATCACAAGCTATCTTCTAAAACATGTCAAATATATTTATTTTTTTAAGTTTTTTAGATTTTTTTGAAGATTCCTAACAGTGATATTTTAAGAGCAAAAAAAAAAAAAGCATAATGCAAACAGAGCACCTTTTTTCACTTTTCAGCACATTTCATATATTAACATGCACATAAATGTTGTGTTTCTATCAGCTGGGGCACTCAAAGGAACAAACGTGCTTATTCTATTTTATCTTCTCAAACATGGCCCAGATACCACATATTCCCACACTCCATGCGCTTTCCTTTTTTCTCCGCTCATAATTTTTGGAATATGACTTTTTATAGCGCAATCAACCCCAGTGGGCTATCGTTTTATTCCCAATTCATGACAGCACTCACTCTACAGAGAGAAATAAGTCTGCAGCTAAAAGTGAATAGCACATCTGTTTCTCTCTCTCTCTCTCTGTGTGTGTGTGTGTGTGTGTGTGTGTGTGTGTGTGTGTGTGTGTGTGTGTGTGTGTGTGTGTGTGTGTGTGTGTGTGTGTGTGTGTGTGTGTGTGTGTGTGTGTGTTTACATTACAATGGTGAGAATCTGCTCACAAAGTAAATACACAGAATATATTTTAGGGTTATGCACTGCATGATATTTGAAGCCTTCTGTTTTTTCTTTAAAAGAAAACTGCACAACTTGGTGGGAAAACTAAAGCCATGGAGTGAAAATGCTTTGTCGGCACGAACATGCTTTGGTAAAGAAATGTTCTTGCAAAAATAAACTAGAAATTATTTTAAATGTGAGCCGGACTTGATGTCTAACTATATATTTTTTCTATAATTTCCCATAATCCTTGTTTTTCTTTTCCTTTGATAAGTAATTTCAAAACTGTTCTCCTAAAGGTGTGATTGATTGAAAAAACATTTTCAATTATTATTTCTGATTATAATCGGTCACGCTGAGTTTTTAATGCCATCTGAACATGAAAACAGTCTTCTACACCTAGCTCCTGCATTAGCTTTGGACAGGAAATAGATGGTGGAATGCTAGGATTTGATAATCAACACACTGTGATGTCACACTGTGAATTTGTGTTCATGGCCTCGTCCATCTTGGCTCACACCTACCCACAGGGAGGCTTTATTTGCAATGCGGAGAGATAGCAGAGATTGTCTTGGTGGTAGTAACTTTGCAACATGGCTGAACGTGTTCTGTTAGCCAATCAGAAGCAAGGTGTGTGCATATCATTAATAACAATGAGTAATCCTGCTGTTTTCAGCCCACCTCTACACCAGCAAACTTCTGCATCTCAGAACAGCAGCAGCATAGCATTTTTAATAACTCATAAAGTATTGATTTACACTAGATAACACTGCAAATATATTGAATAAACAAGCAAACCACATCTTTAAAGGAAAAATCATCATTAGAGACTTGTACTAACCCTGTCATTCAAAGAAAAGCTTCTGTTATAAATGCAATCAATAAAAATTCTTTTTGCAAAAACATTTAATTCATTTACATTTTCTTTCTTCTTCTGTAATGAGTTTGTTTTAGCACTGTTTTATCCACACACAACTAAGTTTGTGTGAATCCAAAAGCTCAGCTCCATCAGATCTGAATAAAAATGACCTCTGTAACCCTGCTTTGATTTTTCTAATGTGGAATGAGAAAGACAGCAACAAGGACCGGAGGGGAAAGAATGCGTATCAAAAGAGAAAATACAGTTAAATAAGGGCATGATATGGAGGCACCAAGATGCAGAAGAAAGATTTTCTTGGCCAAGGCTCAAAGCGCCAAAATCATCTTTCAAAGCACCTACTGGTTTTTGTACATGAATAAACATGCTTAATCAGAAATAGAAATGTGAAATCTTGGGCATGATCTGCAAAATGTAAAGTTTTTAGACCCAGTTGCAACACATCTTTTTAAGAAAAATCACCTTTCTTCGTGATTTTGTTGAGAAGATCTGCAGTCATCAATAATCAAGCATACTTCTGTATTGCTTCCGTGTGATTATAATTTGTCTAATAACAAAAATAATCAAAATTATGTTATTTTACTCGCTGTTGGTTATTCAAATCATAATTGCTCTCAGGTAAATGCCCCCATGGCTTAAGACCAAACATATAAGAATAAGCCACATAATTGTGATTTCAGCGTATTGTTTCTTTCTATTGAAAATAAAATTATTGCACTTGTTTGCATGGATTTTACAAATAGTTAAAAAGTACACAAAAAGAGTGTGTGGAGCAGCCTACGAATTTATTAGCTGCTGTTATATCATTTGACCACTAAATGTCAGTATTTGACAATAAAATAAAAATAGTCAGCTCTGTCACACATAAAGTGTGATTTTTTTTTCTCAATACAGTACTTTATATTTAATAAAACTGAAACTATTTTAATAATATACTGTATAATTTCCCAAAAAATGATGGTATTTGTCCTATTTGTACATTTAATCATTATATTATACATTTTATATTAAGAAAATACAACAGCTTTGTGAAGTCATCTTGATTTGTTTTGCATTTCTTTAAATTTACAACTGACTTTGAATAAAATAAGATTTAAACTCCGTGAGGTGTTTGTCCCATTCATCTGAGATAACTGTGTTTATAAGGACGTGACAAGCAGGCGTTAAAGTGTAATTCAGTCAACTAAAGCGGAGCGTCAGACTAAACGTGTTTTTAAAAAAAGTGATGCACAGGAGGATGGATGGATGGAGCCAGGATGTGGCATGTGTGCATGACGTCATTTGTCCATGTACTGTGCGCCATTTTGGAAGAGGGAAAAAAATCACGGATAATTTCCGTGGTCTTGACAGATCAGAGCCCGAGTCTTCACACTGAATGTGGATGTTATCTGTGTCCCTGAGCAAGCCGCATTGTTTGATAGGGGTATCGGAAGCTGTGTACAACCAGAGCTGCTAAATGAAGCAATGGCGGGTAAGATAGTTTTTGAAGGGAGGAAAGGGATCCACCTTCTCTTCTTGGTGTGTGTGTGTGTGATGGCCTGAATCTGCAAGTTAGCCAAACCGACGTTAGCTATGCGGGGCTAAGTTGTCAAACTGTGTCCCTGTCAGGTCATCCCATCGCCGAGGCCAACCCGAGCCGAACTAACGTCGTGTTCTTTTACAGGAATTGCAGGCGGAAATGACTTCCAGTGGTGTTTCTCTCAAGTGAAAGGAGCGATAGATGAAGATGTTGCGGAAGGTATGTAGCTAACGTTAGCTCGGTCGGCGGCTACGCTAAAGCCTTGGGTGATGATGGTGGAGCTCTGTGGTCTTCCCCGTTAAGCATACAAGGACGCAGGAGGAAGGGGGGTTGTACAAGACAGATGTTTGTAGTGAGTCGGTTTGTGGAGCAGCTGCGCAAACGCCCTTACCCTCTAAGCTAGCTGCATGCTAAGTAGAAGCTAAACTATTAAAGGGGAGCGTCTGTGGCCATGACGTAAATCCACGTCCATAAATTGTAACGTGACATCATGGCTTGTTTTTATTTGTGTTTTATTCAGGCTGCCTGTGTCCGATATGTTACCAGAAGATTAGACGACAACTAAATCTCAATTCCTTCTCATTTCACATACTTGTGGCATGCCGTTGTAACATTTAATCATGCCTTAGCTATTGTCCTTTATTTAAATACATCAATAGCATTCTTTCTTGTCAAAATAACAGTTTATTAATCAGAATTAAACTAATTTGTATCTTGAACATCATTTTTGCTGATTGAAAATACAGGTCTAAAATACCTTCATTGATTTAGGAAAACTTTATAAAACCATTAAATAGTTTTTGAAACATTGAGTTGAAATAAGTTGAAACTTAATATGGAGATCACCTCTACTGAAAATAAATGTACTGTTAAATATGAAAATATTAGAACCAACAATTGAGATAATCATGTGTGGATAGTTACTTGTGTTGGAATGCACACACATAATGTTAATATCAATCAAATTAACACACTCTTCCACAGTGTACATAAGCTTTGTTGAAGGAACAAAAAAGTGAATTGCCTAACTGCTCTGTGAACATTTCTGCAGAAATCCTCTGCTTGCAACTAGATTTTCCTTCCTTATTTTTTTTTTGTTATAATTTTTGTGATGTTTGGATAAAATAGGTGATATAAACTGTTATTTTGGGTTGTCTGCCTAACCAAACTAGTAGGCATAGCTTTATGTCAAAGGCGAGCAACAGTTTCCCTGAAATGTATAAACAAACAAAAAGTAGATTACAAATATGTTGTGAAGAAATGTCTGTCTGTCCTGGTCTATTCTATCTATTTATTTATTTATATTAGGCATTTTCCTCATTACCTCTTTTTTTAGATAGCTGTATCATTCTGGTCATAAATATTAACCCTCTCACTGTCTTTATGGGTGACCCCGTGAGGAAAGTTGACCATTGAGCAGGGTTGATGGTTTATCCCTTGAGGTCCACATGGCAGGGGTGAGGTGGTGCTCACTCCTCACCCCTGCCACATGGACCCGAGGGATAAACCATCAACCCTGCTCAATGGTCAACTTTCCTTGCAGGGTCACACCCATTAGGACAGTGGAAAATGTGTCCTGTGGATATTGAGGGGGGAAAGAAAGGTGCATCGTTTCAATAAAAATGGAAATAAATGGTAGAAGCAAGTTTAGGTTCAGATGTGTGCACCGTTAGACTTTGACTTTATTGTAATTCCCTTCATTGTGTCTATTTCCCTTTCATGTAAAGTATCCAGATTGTTAGTTTCAGACATTTGAAGTTCAACTTTGCCTAGTCAGAACAATGCTCCTGTAATTTTGAAAGGGACTTTGTGCAGTTGTGTAAATTATTGCTGCATTAGAGTTGATCTTGTGTTGTGTCAGATCAAATCAGTGGAGAATGTTGCTGCGGTTATTTGGTGACCTTAGTAGCTGCATAAACAGAAGATTAGGAGTCTTTATCTTTCAGTCAATGACACAGAAGCTCTGTTTTCTGTGCTTTTTAACCTGTTCATCTGCTTCTCGTGCAAACATAGTTTAAATGCTGGGCCTGCGTGCAGAGGAGTAGCTTCAGCTACTGCAATTTCAGCTTCAAAATGAGTGGTTTCATCAGAGTAGATGCATCTGGACGTTTAATAAGTCACCCGCATGATTCAAAGTGAGGTCTTTGTTTTGCAGCCGACATAATCTCAACTGTTGAGTTCAACTATTCTGGAGAATTACTTGCAACTGGAGACAAAGGAGGACGAGTAGTGATATTTCAACATGAACAGGAGGTAAGATCTGTTCGTGACGATAAAATGATTCATGGGGGGGGGGGGGGGGTAGCTGCATACAGATGTTTGTACTTAGTGACTCATATTCTCTATATTCCTTGTTTCTTTCTTTCAGTCTAAGAATCGTCCACACCTGCGTGGGGAATATAACGTCTATAGCACTTTTCAAAGTCACGAGCCAGAGTTTGACTATTTGAAAAGTTTAGAAATCGAAGAAAAAATAAATAAAATAAGATGGCTACCCCAACAAAATGCTGCTCACTTTCTACTTTCAACAAACGGTAAGAGTTTCTGCTGTCGTCTCTAATTTTTACAGACAGGAAACAAACCTTTACCTGTAACATTTGGTCCCTGCCAGATAAAACTATCAAATTGTGGAAAATAAGTGAAAGAGATAAACGAGCAGAAGGTTACAACCTGAAAGATGAGGATGGGCGACTCAGAGATCCCTTTAGAATCACCTCCTTACGGGTAGGTGAAGCCACACCCGAGATCTGCCCCGATTCCTTTTAAACAAGATCAGTTATGTAACTTAAATGAGGAGCGTGTGTTCTACGTTGCAGGTACCGGTGCTGATGCCAATGGATCTCATGGTAGAAGCAAGCCCTCGGAGGATCTTTGCAAACGCGCACACCTATCACATTAATTCCATTTCTGTAAATAGTGATCACGAAACTTACCTCTCTGCAGATGACCTAAGAATAAATCTATGGCACTTGGAAATCACAGACAGAAGTTTTAGTATCCTTTTTATTTTCACGTCTCTTTATCTCTGTTGTAATCAAACTCGAGTCGGCCCGTTACTTAACGTGTGTTCCCAGATATTGTAGACATCAAGCCCGCCAACATGGAGGAACTGACAGAAGTAATCACAGCTGCTGAGTGCCATCCACACCAATGCAATGTATTTGTGTACAGCAGTAGCAAAGGCACCATTCGCCTGTGTGACATGCGAGCAGCAGCGCTCTGCGATAGGCACTCGAAGTGTAAGTGCCTCCACGGTCGTCTTCTGTATGAAACTGATTTGGGTTTATTTTTAGATTTTTCTGTGAACTCGGAATGCCTGTGATGGATATGTTTTTGTGTGCGTGTTTATTTTTAGTCTTTGAGGAACCTGAGGATCCGAGCAGCCGGTCCTTTTTCTCAGAGATCATCTCCTCCATCTCAGACGTGAAGTTCAGTCACAGCGGACGCTATATGATGACACGTGACTACCTCTCAGTCAAAGTTTGGGACCTGAACATGGAGAATAGGCCAGTGGAGACGTATCAGGTGAATAAACTGATGTCATCTTCTTTTTTTAGGGAAATTAAACCTACCGTTCGTACTGCACGGTGTAACCGGTACACGGTTGATATGATATAAATTTAGCCACCGGTAGAGATTTTGACTCATCGTCCATTCTGAACAAATGTTGTCAGTCAGCGTTCGTTTTGAATGAACACAGTAGCGGCTGCAGCTCGGAGCGTTGCGTCAGTTATACGGACCTGGTCTGGGTTTAAGTAAATATGCAGGGTGAGAGTGAAGTTGTATTTGTGGTAATGGCTCACAAATTCCCTTAAATGCTGTCTGTTATTTTAACGCATGATTAACACACAGGCATCCAAACCTTTTAGACGTCTCCTTTGATTTTGTTTGAAATATTTTCCATCATAGGCCTTGCAAATTTCAGCGTTTTTTCCCCCGTTCATTAATTTATCTAGTCTGAAACCAGCTCCTCCCTCCCTCTCGCTCCATGCTGTCGGTGCGCACTACGCTGGGTCAGACCCACGTGGATCAGCTGATCTGGGCATACCTCAACAAAAGGGAAAGAAATTGAATAGACCTCCAACCTTATTATAATATTATCAACAAAAAACACATCAGAGCATCATTTTACCTGCAGCTATTCACTCCTGAAGCAACACTTAACTTCTATGAGCAAAAAAATACATGAAAAAAGAATCAGGAAAGCAGGAAGAAATGTTATTTCTGTTTTTACATTTTTCCCTTCATTTCAAACAATTTTAAATGGGGTGTTTCCATCACATTTAGCTTCTCTTTTATTCAAAATATCTTAAATTGTATTCATGTTATGATCGTTTTTGTTTTGCATTGTTTGGAAAAAGAATCCTAACAACATAAAAATGATTTGAGATATTCTGCACTTATTTAAATACATTTTGAACATTAAATGTTATTTAAATGGCATTCTATGCTCTTAAGAATTGTTTGTTTTGCTGCAATTCACTTGGCATGTGAGATTGTGACAAAAGAGTCATTTTGACATGTAGAAACGGACGAAAAGAATATATTGTTACTGCCATATCGCCCTTTCCTACCTACTGTTTCTAAAACCAACACTTAGTAATTTCCCCAATTCTCCCTCCTGGCTGAAAGTAGTATTACAACTGTTGTAAACAACCCTGCAGCAGCCTGCTGTAGCTAACAACAAGCCAACAATAGCATGAGCCAACTGATACTAAATAAGCCATGAAGTAAAAAGATCCACACTGGTGGACAAAAAATATTATTACTTGCAAGTTCAGTAGCAACAAAGCCAGGTCGCCATCAGTCCGTGATTTGGTAGCCTCCTTTAACTCTCAAATGAGTGTCGGCTGTGTCAGTTTTCACTCTGGTACTTTGCCTTGCCTCCAAGGACATTACTCCCTTCTTTCCATTACCATCATGATGACAACAAAAATGTAAATTCTTGTTCTCTGGCTTTTTTTTTTTTTTTTGGACAAAGCTAACTGCTAGCCTTTATATTAGCCACCGGCACAGTAAACGCTATTGCCGTAAAGCAGGTAGAGACCTCCCACCGGTGTTCCTACTCGAACCACAGTTTCTGGTCAGCAGAGGGCTACACGAATATGAAGTTGGTGAAGTTTCTGGCTCAAGAACCTCTGGAGCCAGTCTGAAAGCTTAGTGTTAAAAACGCTTAAGTGTTGCTGTCTGATTTGGGGATGATTTGTCTGAAAGCATTTGCCTCAAACAGCAAATGTCATTAATTCGTTATTTGTGGTTCCAGGTCCATGAATACCTTCGCAGTAAACTCTGCTCTTTGTATGAGAACGACTGCATCTTTGACAAGTTTGAGTGCTGTTGGAACGGTAGCGACAGGTAAGTGTTCAGCACCGTCTTCCTGGGTCCTCAACCTGTCAGATCCGTTTATTTAACGTCATGTTCCTCCTTTCTTTCTCCATTAGCGCCATCATGACCGGCTCTTACAACAACTTCTTCCGAATGTTCGACCGCAATACCAGGCGGGATATCACACTGGAGGCATCCCGGGAGAGCAGCAAACCACGGGCTACGCTCAAACCGCGCAAAGTGTCCACCGGCGGCAAGAGGAAGAAGGACGAGATCAGCGTGGACAGCCTGGACTTCAACAAGAAGATCCTCCACACTGCCTGGCACCCCAAAGAAAACGTGATAGCTGTGGCAGCCACCAACAACTTGTACATTTTCCAGGACAAAATCAACTAAAAGATTTGGGGCTCCAGAGGATAGGGCTTTCACCATACCTGTGTAGTTAAGCCTACTACTTGTCTATCTGTATAAGAAGAAACAGCCTTGTTGTCCTCCTGGTGAAGAATTTGAAAGCACGCGTCTACTTTTTTTGCCACAGGAGGTTGATCCATAGGCCTGTTTTATTTTGAGTCTGAGCTTAGGTTGTTTTTTGCCTTTGGCACCAGGGCAATCAACACCCCCCCCCCCCCCCCCCCCCCCCCCCCCCCGACCCAGAAAGCCCATTTCGGGGTCTAATTGTCGGAATGGCACGCCCCAGAGGTCAAACTCTTGAACGTTGGTGTTTGTGTTGACATTTTAAGCCTTCATTTCACAATTTAACAACAGAACTCTTGGGAGTCCTTACAATGACGTCTTGTCAAGGTTGTATCCATCTTTCAGAGATTTTGGGTCCTGTGAAGCACGGATTGACGGCCAATAAACCCAACTGTAACATTCCCCCATTGGCCCCTGTCTTCGGGCCAAACTAACGGTGGAGGAGGCCGTGAATTTGGAAAGTGGACTTGTTTCTTTTCCCTTATTTTATCCCATTTAATACAGTGACATCATTTCACTGACTGTATCTACTCAAGTACACCTTGTCATCCACATAATAAAATAAACTAAAACTACAGATGTGTTTTTAAATTTAGAAGTATGGTATTAAAAACATGTTTATTGCTTTGCATGTTTTTTTATGTTGTAGAGAGGTGGAGAAAAAAAGTCCAGTCACACCACTGTCTTTTGAGCAGATCTCAAGCTAATTTGTCACTTTGGTGCAATCGGTATGAGAACCACAAGCATTGATGATCAGAGATTATGATGGCAATGTTAAAGGATGCAGGCTGGAGACTGAAAGGCACAGGACGGGAGTCCAGGACAGGACAAAGGGAATCTGCAGCCTTAATACCTACTTCTATCAGTGACAGCTACGAGTTATGTCCCCAGACGTTTTATGAACCTCATGTGCATTATTTGTAAATCCTATTTTATAGTCCTCATACACTGCTGCTACATGTGGCTGTCTATAACACAGAAAAAGGAAAATTGCACATCATGCATACGGTTTTATGTGATGTAGAGTGCCTCCGATTCTTGTAACGAGTAGGAAATAGGCCTCATACATGTGCCCTTTTTCATTTATTAGGGATGCCACCTTAATTGCATATGACACATGTGGATCTTTGTAGTTGTCAATGCAGACATGCGTGTTGACACCACCATACTGATGACGGTAAAACACACATAATAAATGCACTGTCTTTGTCCATTGATCCCCAACATGGTGGCAATGTATTCACTTGTTTATTATTTTGACCAAAGTTCAATAAAATTTTAATTGTGTTCATGAGTTTTTATTTACTTTATTAAATGATTTCAGACTATAACCCTATCAGTCACATAGGGTTATGATTTATGATTAAATGCACTAAATGTGTGCTAATCTAATCACAATTTGCTAATGTACAAGTATGCAGTCTGATTAGATGACTTGCACCCTAAGAAAATAACATTTACACACATTTAAAGCTACAAAAAGATCTTATTACACTGCTGATTTAAATAATTTAATGTAACGTCTCAGAGCTGATTTCAGGGATGATGAATCATGCAGATAAGCAGCTAAATGGTTTGGAGCTACAGCGAGGAGCAGTGGATTGGTCACTATTGTGACAGCAATGAGAGATCCTCAGCTCGCCACTCTGATGGCACACAGACTACACTGGGTGTCACATGGCCACAACTTCCTCAATCTCCACAAGGTCCCATATTAAGGCATGCCAAACAGGTGTGCGAACACAACCGCCACCCAGATTAGAAGGTGTTGTGGGTTGTCAGGCGCCTCCCAATATATATCCTGCAAAAAGAGTAACAAATAACAGTACATCAGAAATATTTTAAACTCAGAATAAACACAACATATAATGTCTTATTGCTTTAAAATTTGAGTCACATGAAATAATCAGGCTTATGTTGAAATAGTGCTTTTCTGACATCACTTCAGATAATAGGCAAATATTTCCAAAAGAAACACGTTTTTTTTTTTTACAAATCTGAATGAATTAAGTCACAACTATGTTTTTGGACATTATTTTAAACTGATGCAAGTTATTATTGAGCTTATGTTAGATCGAGCTTCTCCCAGTAGTGCCGACTCTTAGGTCGTTGTCCTGAGTGCACTTGGAAAACGTAATCCATGCTTTTGTTACATCTAGGCTGGATTATTTGAATTTGTTGTATGCGGAGTGACCCAGTATTCTGCTGCAAGGCTGCAAATTGCTCCAAATTCTGCGGCAAGGTTTTTGACGGAGACAGAGAAACGGGAGTCCATCACCCCTGTCCTGGCAGATTTGCATTGGCTTCCAGTGTTTTACTGGGCCAAGTTTAAAAATTTAGCCTCTGTTTACAAGGCTTTGCATGGCAGTAGTCCTCCGTATCTAACAGCTCCACTAAACATACACACTCCATCTAGTGCACTTCAGTCAGCTGGGCAAGAATTGCTCCCTGTTACTCAGATCATCAGTAAAACAAGGGGTGATCGGTGAAGGCTACGACGTTCTAGAACAGTCTGCGGCTGGCCATTAGGCAAGCACCGTCACTGCAATTAGTTAAGCGTCAACTGGACTTATTTTTACACTTTGGCTTTTAATAAAGTGCTTCACAAGGGCAATGACCTAATGCCTGATTTCTCATGTTATTGTACTGTTTTTATTCTGTTTATTGTTGTATTATGCTGTGTACAGCACTTTAGACCACCTTTGCAGGCTTGGACATATGAAGTCAAAAACATTGTGTGCTTTTAATTTTTAAGGACATTTCCCAGAATTAGACATTAATTCCAGTTACTCACCCTAAGCCAATAGCAAGTATGTGAGAAATGATTAACGAAGGAAGGAAAAGCGTGAGAAAATCAGCAGAAAGGAGGCCTCCTTTCTTCATGACGCTGGTGTTTCTTATGCTGAGAGAGGTTGAGCGCTTGGGGTACTTGAGCAGGAACTCCCTGCAGAGGAGCACATTAATATTTCACTGCTTTTGAATAGATTAAAGATCAGTGAGCTCCAGCTTAATGTCATTCTAACACAGAGTCTTAAAATGTAACAAAATAAAAAAATAAAGAAAACGTTGGCATGACAGACATGTCATGAATCTAATAAAGGTTAGTGCTTCTGGGTTCATCTGTTCTGATTAAAATAAACTTATGTTTTGCTGGCATTCCTTTGATCAACATTTCTGCCCTACAAAATGTTTTTTTTAACCACTGCACCGTATCTTGTGTGTTTTTATGTCCTGTCACATCTTTGTGTCTTGTTTGCACCAGGACTAGTGAGAAACATAATTTTGAGTCCTTTTTATGTCAAGTGCGTGTGAAGAATTCGACAATAAAAGGGTGGATTGCACCAACAAGGTTTAACTTTAAACTTGGATTAAATCATGGTTTGAGTTTAAATTCTGTTGCACAAAACTTCAAACATAGTTTAATATTATGATTATATTTAAACTACTCTTTTTAACCCAGTTTAATTTCCCCACTAAACCAAGTTTTAATTTAAATCTGTTGCACCAGAACTTTGAACCCAAATTTAAACTATGATCTAGAAATAATATTAAACCAGCTAATAAGGAGGTTTAACTTTAGCCGTGGCTGTATTTTTGAGGTAAATCTAGCAAAAGGGTGACGTTCCTCAAAGTAAATTAAGAAACCCAAGTCCACTTGAGTTTTATGATAAAGATTAACTTTTGGTTAGTTACTGGTTTACCAAATCATAATCTACTTTAGAGCTGTTTTTTTACGTCGCTTTTCTTTTTAAGTCAGGTGTCATTTCACTAAAACTATTATCCAGTTGCAGTCTCTGCTTGATCATGGGCTGACACTAGAGTTTCTTTTTTTCATATTTATTTATTTAAAATGTACACATTGTTCTGATCGACCCATAAAACAAGCGGCCTGAATAATATTTGGGTTGGGTCAGTCACGCTTTGGTCCTGCTTGTGTTTGGCAAAAAAAAAAAAAGTCAGCTGCAATGCAACAATTTGTTCCCGAACCTCAGGTTCATTCATTTGGAAAGATGTGCAAGTTTGCAGCTCGTTGTCTCCTTCGCTGACACAGAGCTGGTCCAATCATTGCATGAGACACCTGCTCCCTGTCAAAGGGACCATTTAGCTGTGTGTGGAGCTAGCTTAGCTATTAGGTAAGCTAATATGATCTTTTTGGATCTTCTGAGATGGAGAGAAAATGCAAAGGAGGAGCAGAGAAACTACGCAAATATATAAATAAACTTGCTTTTTAAGCAAATGCTGATATATGCACCAAACATGACACAGTAACTCACTGGGTGGGAAGAGCAGAGAGGAGGAGGGTTTTCAACCCAACGTCTGTTACATTTTAAAGAGGTTTTAACAACACGCTTCTGATGTTTATAGTTTAATAACGTAGCCTGTTTAATTGGTAGATTTTATTTTGAAATCCACTCACCTTTATTTAAATCGGTTTAAGCACAGTTTAAAAATGTAAACATAGTTTAACTAAACTGTGATTAATTTTAAGTATGCAAACAGCCCTGCTTAATTTTAAACTTGATTTAAGTTATTTTAAATCTACTTTTACTAATCACTGATGAGTGATAATCTTAGTTTAAATTAAACCTTGTTGGTGCAATCCACCCTTAGTATCTTAAATAAAAATCTTTAGTTGTTTTTTTTTTTTACTTGGGTGGACTGTTCTCAGGTCGACTGGACCAGTCCCAGATCCAGTCAGCATTTTTCTTCATTAGGTTTTCGACTTCCCATCTTCTCTCTTGGAAGTCTTCATCAGACTGAAAAAGAAAAAAAATGGAGGAAGATCAAGGGCTGTCAGCACCAAAGCTTGGCTTCCAATGATAATTTGAATGTTTGAATGCTGAGAGACATCAACAAAGAATCGTCAAAAACTATACGTAGTTGTATTCGTCGTCGTCATCGTCTTCCTCCGCTTATCCGGGTCCGGGGGCAGCATCCCAACTACGGAGCTCCACCCCGTCCTGTCCCCGGCCACCTCCACCAGCTCCTCCGACAGGACCCCAAGGCGTTCCCAGACCAGATTGGAGATGTAACCTCTCCAACGTGTCCTGGGTTGACCCGGGGACCTTCTGCTGGCAGGACATGCCCGAAACACCTCCCCAGGGAGGCGTCCAGGAGGCATCCTGACCAGATGTCCAAACCACCTCAACTGACTTCTTTCGATCCGGAGGAGCAGCGGTTCTACTCCGAGTCCCTCCCAAATGTCTGAGCTCCTCACCCTATCTCTAAGGCTGAGCCCGGCCACCCTACGGAGGAAACTCATTTCAGCCGCTTGTATCCGCAATCTTGTTCTTTCGGTCATTACCCAAAGCTCATGACCATAGGTGAGGATTGGGACGTAGATCGACCGGTAAATCGAGAGCCTGGCTTTCGGGCTCAGCTCCCTCTTCACCATGAGAGATCGACTCAGCGTCCGCATCACTGCAGACGCTGAACCAATCCGTCTGTCGATCTCCCGATCCCTCCTACCCTCACTCGTGAACAAGACCCCGAGATACTTAAGCTCCTCCACTTAAGGTAGGACCTCTCCCCCGACCCGGAGGTGGCAAGCCACCCTTTTCCGGTCGAGAACCATGGTCTCAGATTTGGAGGTGCTAATCCTCATCCCAGCCGCTTCACACTCGGCCGCGAACCTACCCAGCAGGAGCTGAAGGTCAGAGCTGGATGAAGCTAGGAAGACCACATCATCCACAAAAAGCAGAGACGAGATTCTCCTGCCACCAAACTCGACACACTCCACACCACAGGTGCGCCTAGAAATTCTGTCCATAAAGATAATGAACAGAACCGGTGACAAAGGGCAGCCCTGGCGGAGTCCAACCCTCACCGGGAACAAGTCCGACTTACTACCGGCAATGCGGACCAAACGCAAGCTCCTCTGGTAAAGGAACTGAATGGCCCTTAACAGAAAGCCACCCACCCCATACTCCTGGAGCATCCCCCACAGGGCGCCCCTGGGGACACGGTCATAAGCCTTCTCCAAATCCACAAAACACATGTGGATTGGTTGGGCAAACTCCCATGCCCCCTCCATCACCCTTGCAAGGGTATAGAGCTGGTCCACAGTTCCACAGCCAGGACGAAAACCACATTACTCCTCCTCAATCTGAGATTCAACCATCGATCGGACCCTCCTCTCCAGTACCTTGGAGTAGACCTTTCCAGGGAGGCTGAGGAGTGTGATCCCCCTATAGTTGGAACACACCCTCAGGTCACCCTTCTAAAAGATGGGGACCACCACCCCGGTCTGCCACTCCACAGGAACTGCCCCCGATGACCACTCAATGTTGCGGAGACGTGTCAACCATGACAGCCCTACAACATCCATAGCCTCGAGATACCCAGGATGAATCTCATCCGCCCCCAGGGCTCCGCCGCTGTGTAGTTGTTTGATTACCTCAGCAACTTCTGCCCCCAAGATTGGACAGTCCATCCCCAGGTCTCCCGGC